GGGTGCAATTCAACGTGCCTAAATAAGCAGTTTCATCTTATAAATACTAAACAGGAAGTTTATTGCGGTTACCATCAATGTACAGAAGATTAAACAGAAAGTCCACAAACTTTTGCAACAAAATATTGATCTTTTTTTTGTCAACCCTTCAAAAACTAATAGATCAATAAATGGACGTCTAGATAGGTTTATTTCTATTTAATGTATAATATTTGAACTTGAATACCTAAGTTTCATAGTCTGTTATGACAGGACAGAATAAATATGGCTGTCCACAAACTTTTGCAACAGGGTGTATGGTCAAACTCAATTTGATGTTTCACTATGATACTGGTGACTGATTGCTTCAATTAGCTTTAATAGGAGGATATCTTTACCCTTCAATGGATAACAAAAAGTGTATAACAAACGAGCAAGAAGTGAGAGTCACATTTGCACAGGAAAACAAGCCGTATGACCATAGAATATGGCATGGGATTACACCAGCTCACTACGTGCAAATAGCATCACGAAATGCACATCTTCGTTTGAACGTGAAAGCAGCAGAAGATGAACACATCTTCGTTTTTGACATGGATCAATGCATCTATCATTGTGATGATTTGGTTAAGTTTGATAGGAAGAGTGCTCTAAACCACTTCATTAAGCTGACTAAGATGACTGAAAGTGACTTCGACAAATACGAGAGTTACAACGATAATTGGATGGAAATGTTTGTTGAGAAATTCAGCGAAAAAAGAAATGAAATTTGCTGCGTGATTGACTCATCCGATTACAGGACATTTTTGTCAAAATGCAACGAGGTGAATGCGAAGTTGGATGGGCTGAAGTTTAGGAAGTTTCTCTTCACAAATGGAACCAAATGCAGAACTCAAAATATTCTGAATCTGATTGGACTGGAACACGCATTTGAGAAGGTGTTTTGTGCTGATATTGATGAGCATGAACACATCATAAAGCCAAAGAAGCCGGCATTTGAATTTGTGCAGAATCACTTACAGGCTGCACCAAAAATGATCCACTTTTTTGATGACAATCCAAAGAACATCAAGGGAGCCAGGGAGCTTGGCTGGAACGTCTACGAAGTCAAGAACAATCTGCTCAACCAGATTGAGACAGCAATTGATTCCGTAGGTGGAAATCAGACAGAATGAATTCATTTGAAATTGATTATTTTTTTATCCATAAAATGCCAAGAAAATCAGCTAAGAGCAAATCAACACTTCTCTTTCTACCAAACATCATTGGACTAATCAGAATCACAGCCATGCTCATTGCAATCTACAGTACAGGAGTCCAATTCGTGCTGCTCTATCTCTTCAGTGTCGGACTCGACTTCTTCGATGGCAAAATAGCACGATCACTAAATCAAGTCTCCATTCTGGGAGGAGTCCTTGACATGGTTACAGATCGAGTCACCACAAATGTCCTATGCACCAAACTGGCCTCATTTGGAAGACTCAGACACATCCAAAACCATCTGATTCTCTACATCTTCCTTGATGTCCTAGGAAGCATGATCTACTTCATTTCAATGTCGTATTTGAAGACGCATCACAAACAAAACAGCAATTTGGTACTGAAATTCTACTACAGGCCCAACATCCTGAAAATCTGCTGCTCTGGATCTGAGCTCTACTTTGTGGCACTGTACACGCACCATTCTGGTCTTCTTCTGGTTCCTGGACCAGTGAGAGTGACCCTATGGGCCATAACGTGCTTCAAGACATTTGTAAACATGATCCACCTTTATTGTGGTATAAGGACACTTTCAGTACAGAAATAAGCTTAGCAGATAAGTATTTATGCCTCTTGTTTGTTGCTCTCTCCCTTATCTATTTTCTCAGCACTTTCTTCGAGAATCTCCTTCACTTTCTCCTTGTATCCCTTTCGATCTTCCCTAAACTGTTTCGATGCATCTACATTTGCAGGTGAGTCTGGATTTGGCTCGTTCAGCATCGATAGAATCGAAATACAGACCGTTCTGACGCTCTGGACGGCCGTCCAGCTGCAGTCGTGGATGCTTGGGTCGACTATTGCGTCATCGGCCGTGTGTAGGATCGAAATGCAGACCTTTCCGTCCTTGTAGACGTTTGGATGCCACATTGGCGTCGTAATCGTAAACACTGGCGGCAGATTCGGATATCTGCTTGGAAATGTCATCTTTGCCTTGAGTCTGTATCCCTCGTAGAGCGAGTCTTGGGACCCTTCGAACGTGAGTTCCCACCTGCTCAAGTCGTCATTTCCATTTTCATCTTTAACCAGTTTCGCCTTTATTCCGAAGTCCTTTTCCTTTTTCAACTGCTCTAATTCCCTTCTGAGTCTCTTTATTGCCACTGGTGAAAGAAAGTCCTGTCCTGAAACCATTACAGGGTAAAAAATGAAATTTTTAAGGAGTGTTGTTTTGCCTAGTAAATATTATGCAATCAGAAATAGCTATTTTTAACTAGTGTTCAACTGACATATTGGTTTGGACATACTAGTCAAATACCAAGTATTGTAAGAATCAAGTAGGTCACAAATCCAATTACAAATTCACCCACGTTACTTCCTGATCCAAATCCCCTATAAAATACGATAAGGGGCTCCCAGTTCATTTCAAGCAGGATGCAGGATGTCACCACAAACTCAACGTATTTCGTATCAAAGTCAAAGGCCAGGTTCACCATTGAACACAACAGGTAATTCAGTCTGTTTCTCGATAGGAGAAATAGCACCGTACTCACCCTGATATTTGATGCATATTTGATCCAGTCGAATTCAATATCTTTTTCTTCTTTGGTTTCCTCCCTGTTTTTTAGAATTGCCTTATATTCCTTAGTTCTGGCTTTCTCGTCTTCAATTCTCTCCTTTAATACTTCATAGATCTCCTTAGTGTCAGTATATTCAATAGTCATGCTTTCACATAGCATAACACATACTATGGTGCCAATAAGAAGTAGAATATTGATATAGATCAGAATGGTGAAATCGAGACAGGTGCTAATCAGGTATCCAAAGAGCTGAATGTGGTAGACTGCTCTGGTGCAGTCAACAGTGAGCATGTATTTGGTAGAGTGGGCTGAGTTGGATACGAATCCAAATGCAATGAAGTACAGGTAGGTCAGTTTGGTGAAATCAGCTTCCTTGGATATGAAGTAGTAATATTGAAGTAATAGGGCGTATGTGATGTAGAAGAGGTTGCAAATGGTGCAGATGATGACTGAGCCAGTGGAATAGTAATCAAGGGCTGTTTTTGATAGGCTGGAGAATATGGCAAGCAGGAATGCAAGTGGGGAGGGATGAATAGCCGTGATATTGATTGCAAGGCATAGAAATGGATAAGTGTGGATCAGAATCAGTGCAAATATTCTGGGTGGGATGGTGTCCATTTGTTTACAGGCTGTTTTAAGTGTTTTAGAAGGGTGACCTGATTTGCACAATAAGCTTAATTGCATTTATGCGTATATTACCTGATTTAGAATTCATTTGTCGGTGTAGAGCAATTCAAGTAGCCTTCTCTTTAGATCACCATCGTCCATTTCTACCTTAATTAGCTTCTCTACTTCAACCAGCTTATTGTAGTAGAAATGGATTTCATTTTCAAACTTGATGAAGCTTGCCGCATATTTCTCAACCTTTGCACCACACTTCTTCTTGGTTTCTTCCAGCATTGTCCTGTACAGATCGATCTCATCGGTGCTGCTTTTGCCCTGAGCCAATTGGTACCTGAGTCTGTTCAACTCACTCAGTGACTTCTCATTTTGCATTAACAGCTCTTCATTTTGTTTGTTTAACTCCTCATTTTGTTTATGCAGCTCACTGACATCTTTATGAGGGTCTTTCAATTCCACCCTGTTAATTGGCCTACTCTTCTTTTCATTCATTACAGTTGTTACACTCCCATTCCTTTTTACTTCCCTCTTTTCATACAGATTATAAACCAGTTGCAACACTTCTAAGTTGTCCTGTAGTCTACGCTTTGCCATTCTCTCAACTGGCATGCATATTTTCATCCCTATTCCCTCGTAATATGTTTTCACCCTTGTTAGATTGTACACAAAGTCCTGTTCCGTCTTAGGATTCTGCTTGTAGTTTGTTATTTTCTCAGTCTCTTTGGAATTAATAAGGTTGATTAGTGGTAAACCTGTTCCAACTTCCTCAATCCTACTGATAACAACCCTATTCTCCTTAAGCCAGTCAATCAAGAAGCTTCTGGATAAAAATGCCATTTTGTTAGGGTTAAAAATGTCATACACATCCCCTATGTCTGTACTCTAAGTTCTTCTTCACCTCTACTCCTTCTATGTACCACTTATTATGGCTATTATCGTACTTGATTCCAATTCTCTTGCTACATTTTGCACAGTAATACCGCTCTACACTTCCAGTCACAGATAAAAACACCTTTTCCTTATCAAATTTGGCGTATACCCTCTTCAAATTGTCTTCTAGAAGACTCTTCAACTCGCTCTTATCCGATTTGCTTCTCATTGTATAAAACCATCCTCGTCTCATAATTCGATCCAATGCAGCAGCACTGCTCTCTCTACCATGGCCACTCTCGTGCATACTCTTCTGATTCACCAACTCAAATCTCAGACCACAATGTGAGCATTTTTCAGGTAAAAAGAGTCTTTCTGGCGTAGCATACTTCATCTCTTCCTCATCTTCTATTTTTGAAATAATGTGCTCTTTAAAGACACTTTTCTTCTTTCTGACTATTTTGAATTCTTCTGTATTATTTGGTGTTATTCCTGGTAGTGTTATTCTTTCATCCCCATCAGTTTGATTCAATCCAGGTAAATTCATTCTTTTGACTCTTTTTGATTCATTCTGGCTCCTTGGTGAGTTGAATTCTCTCTCTGTCATGTTGTCAAATGCATCCTTATCCTTTCCAAATACGTTTGTGCTACAGAAATAGACCTCGTCGTGCTTAGACCTAGGCTTCTTTCTGTTTTTTAGGAATTTGTAGAAATCGTCCAAATTATTAGATTCATCACTCTTCACATATTCCTCTACGTAGTTTATTAGGTTATCTATCGAGTTATACAGTAGTTCAAGCACCATTTTGTCAATATGCTTTGACTTGGAATACCCTCTAAAGAAATCATGCAGCTTTTTTGGTAGGGTCATTTTGGGGCTAAAATGACCATCGAATATTATGGTGACTAACAGTTCTTACTCATCTCCTCTAAACTTGTCTCATTGGTCTTCAACTCCACACAAAACACCTTATCAATTCGCTCTCTATTCTCCTTCACATACTTACAGTATCTCCACTCTCCTCTATTCACTTTCAGCATCACCTTTCCTATTTTGCTTCTCGTATCTTCCCCTACATTCTGTAGTATTCCATCTTCCACTATTTTGGTCATAAAAGTCATTTTGTACTTCTTATTCTTTGACAAATCAACCAGAAATTGATTCAGGGTCTCCTTATACCTCTGAATTATGCAATTGAGCTTATTTTTGGTAGTTTTAGTTTCATTCAACACCAGCTCAATAAACTGGTGTAGTATGAACCTGACGATGTTCTCATCGTATTTTAGCTCATTTTTGTAGTCCACCTCAAGCTTCTTTAGGCCATCTTCATTACCAATGTATTTGCTAAGCATTTCTTTGGTATTTTCTTCGTGTTTTGAATATTTTATGCCATTTAAACTTAATTTGAATTCGTTTTTGACTTCTTCCTTCAAATCATCTTTTAGCTCCACTTCTTCCACTTCTTCCACTTCTTCCATGTCAAACACCTCCAAATAGTATTCTATTGATTCTAAGAGACAACCAAACTTCTCTCCTGTTGTCTGATTATCTGAGTGTTTCACCAGAGATGTGAAAATATGCATAAATGCCAATTTGTAATAATTGGCATTGACTCCTACCAGTTTCATTATGTCTCCTATGCTACCACTACAGTTCTTATGTAGCCACTTCTCTACCATCAGATACCCCATCTCATTTGGTAGTGAATTATCTCCTAGTCCTATAAAATATTCCAGGTAATACTTCAAAGTCCACGGGTTGTATGGTAAGTCGAAATATATCAGCGAGTTGATGTATAGATACTTGTAGAAATACCATGGTAGAGTCAATTTGGCTGTACTGGGATAGAAGTACGTATTGTTGGCACACTTCATCAAAGCATAAAATATGTCTGAGTCATACTTCAACGACAAAAATAATGCTGCATTCTCAATGAAGAACTTCTGATCCTTTTTTGTTATTCCCATAAGCAGTTTCTTTGCCTCTACAATGTTGCTGTTGAATACCAGGATCTTTGAATTTTCTATTTTTTCAGAACTCTTTTCCTCTTGCTTCTTTTCCTTGAGCATTTTCTTCATCTTTGTCATGTCATAGACGCCTCTTTCGCCAATCTTATCCTGAACCAGCCTTGCTTTCAGCAGATGCAGTTCCACTAACAAATCTTCCTTATCCTTGTATGATTCAAACAATAATTCAAATGCATCAACATCGATCTTCCTGTAGAAGAATGCTACAAAATCTACGCATATTTTGTCATTTGTGTAGACAAACGGCCCTAGTAAGTGTGAAATATTCTGAATTATTGCATGGTCTCTTATTTTCTTATTGCTCTTTTTTGTATCCTTCTCCTCATCTTTTGTTCCTTCTACCTGTTCCTTAGCTGTTTCCTTTATTTTGCTATATTTCTCCATGCTTTTTCTGTACTCTTCTTCTATTTCTGTATCCTTGGTTTCCTCACTCAAAATCTCAAATACCACTTTCTCTAGAGCAGTCAGTGCGTACATTCCCATTGCCTTGTCTTTCATTTTGACCTCCTTGACCTTCTTCACTACCTCTTCTATGCCCACTTCTGCTATATAATGGGATATATTCACGTAGGTGTATAATACATCCAAGTCATTTGATGCATCCAGTAAACTGAATTTCTTGTAGCCCATGGGTAAAAAGACCAGGTGAATTTCAAAGCAAAAGTATCCTAGCAAATAGGGCAGAATATGAAATATATCAGGGCAACCTGACTACAATAATGACTATTAAGGCATATCCTGATATTCTTCTCCACAAATTCAGTACACCCATTAGTTATCTAATAATTAGATTGTTTAATTATCCCAGACCTTAATTTCATCCATTTCATTACAATTATGCTACTTGTAGATTAGTATACGTTTTAATTCTATTGAATGGTGTCACATATAATGTCATAATTAATCAACAATACTAGAACCTACTTTATTTTACTCCACTAATAGATACTATTATTCCCTAAGTCCAATAATTGCTATGCAACAACAAACAATCTAAGACCAAAGCATCCAATTGTTTTCAGACAGGTTTAATTACTATTTTTTACACCCTTTATGTTTAGCTTAGAAAAAGATGAAAAAGATAAATCAGGGGAAATAGAAAAGAGTAAAGAAGCAACTGCTGTGGCAGGTTTACTATCCCTGGAAAAAGAGACAGATGGGCCAAACAAAACAAATTCGGTCCATGGAATAGCCACAGGCACAATCATAGTAAAAGAAAAAGATGATTCTGATGTGATTATTGAAAATGAATCAGCTGAATTTTCAGATAAAAAGGGATCTAGAAGCAACAATGCTCAAAACAAAAATAGCGACTACAGTGAGCTGTTTTCTGGGAAACCTGTTCAGAATGACTCCAGCAACTACTACAATAAAGATGGCTTCAATGTCAAGGAAGTGTACAAGAAGGGCTTAAGTGCATTTGTTGCTAAAAATAATTTGGCCAACTTATCAAGTGGACCATTTGGGATATTCAAGTCAAAAATAAAATGCAGTAACACACTGCTTGGAGTAGTAAGGGAGAAGACACTCTTCATGTACTTCTTATATCGCAATTTGAGGTGCACGAAGGAGTACGAAGAGTTGTACAGGGCGTATGTGCCTAGACCAGAAAACAAAAGCATAGAAAGCTATAAAATAGGTGAAATGTATTTAGTAGGAAACAGAACAGGAAATAGGGTGAGAAATAGAGCAGTTTCATTACCAAAATATAGAGACAATCATTTTGCATGTGAGAGTGATGAAAACTGTAAGAACATGAAGATCACGGAAAAGAAGGGTGTTACAAGGGGCAGAAAGAGCTGTGCTACCACCAAAAACAGAGCTATCAAAACGAACAAGCACTATAATCCACCAATAGACAACCAGGATATTAGAAAGTACAAGGGGTGGATTGCAGAGAATGTGCCAAAAATAAGAACAATTTCAGAGAAGGAACCTGAATACAGAAATGTGCCTTATTTGGTTTGGATTGATTCTATGGTGAACCATTTTATCAAGCGATTCTACAAATCAATGGATTTGGAGGATGACGAGATTGAAATTGAAAGAACAGTCTTCCAGCTGGCATTGCGACTGGGTACTGAATGGGGGATGATGGGGATGAATCAGAAACAAGAGTGGCTGAAAAAGGCCAAGAAGGATGTGAGGAAGTGGATGGATGAGCAGAAGACAGCAAAAGAAAATAATTCAGAAAATGAAGAGAGTGAGAAATAAATACATGTTTTTATTGGGTATTATTTGGATTGGGGCAATATGAACAAGGGCCATGTTTCATATTGGATGCTTTTTTAAGGCGACAATTCATCCTTTCCACTTTATATTTTGTTCGACTGCTTTTGATTGCACATTTACCAATTTGAAATGCATAGGAGTCAATGTTCTTTCTCAAAGAGACGCATATTTGATTCTGATTATTCAATATCGTGGTTTTGATCGCATAGAAGTCATTGCTTATTTCACTCGCATTTTTGCGTCTTGAGAAAAAGTTGAATTCAGGCAACATTTTTAGAAATTCACCACTTTCCTCGTAAATCAATCTGTCAATTCCACTACTAATGGTGAAAATATTGTTTTGTTCATTTTGTATTACTTTCTTCATATTTGATTCGAATTCGTGTATTTTAGTGATTATTTCATGTGTGCTTTGCATTATTTTCTTTGATAAAATCATCTCTTGCCTATTTGTCCTAATTCTGTGATCAAATGCATCAATGTGTTGTTCATGCAATGTGATTTTTCGCTTGGTTTTTTCAATAGTTTTTCTCATTGTTTCTGTTGTATTTAAATCATTAGATTCGATTATTTTATTCTGCACTGTATTTGATTCACCCTCTTGTTCAGGTATTGCACAGTTTACCAGTGTCTTGTAGAGTATCATAAATAACATTTTTAGGGTATTTAAAGCAATGGAAATACTAAGAATGTTGTTAAATATGTTAATTTGATGATGCTCTGATATTAGTTTATACCTGTATATTAATATTACCAACAATTACCTACCTGAATTATAGTCAATGTTTGATTTGATCCATATGATTTAATACAGCATAATATAGATAAATATGGAAGCAAACAACCCCATGAATCCGTTTGAGAAGAAAGAAAGCAAGAGTAAATCTAAAGGAGACAAGCAGAGTGAATCTGATTCAGTGGAAATACAACCAATCTTTCCTACGTTAAAATTCCACGATGATGAAACAAGTCCATTTATGAGTGGTTTACCACAGAATCCTTTCGAAAACAACTACAAAAAGTATATAAAGATGTTTGAAATGCTATTTGGTGATAAGGGAACGATGATCAATAGCAAGCAGGATCAAATAAAGAGTGATGTGATTAAAAAGAAGATAAGGATGGAGAAAGAGCAGATTGAAGCAAGAAATGAAATACTTAAAATGAGAATTGAAGATAGCACCATATCAAAGATCGAAAAGAGAATGAATAAGATCATCAAATCAAGTAGATTGAAAGCACATAAAATAATTATTATGTATGAGAGTACCTGGGAATTGATTAAACCTGGAAATATGAGAATGAAGGAAGCAAGGAATATTACTATTAATACAGTTGTAGATGAAATACGTAGAATAGCAACTGCTTGTTCAATACCAAGCAGAGTATTCTTATACAGGCCAAATAGAAGTGGATTTATGATAGAAATATCAAAAGAGAGTGGTAACAAAATCAAAACAAAAGTAATAAAATGATTTACTGTTCAATTAATCACTGACGGTTATTATTCTGTTACTTTCTGCTTCCTTTATCACCCTTGTTAAATGTGTTATTACATAATCCTTTGCTATTTCCCTGGAACGTGCTTGATTATACTTTTTGGATCAAGTCCCTTTTTTTCCCCATTTCAGTTTAAGGTCCCTTTTTTTCCCCATCGGATTTTAAGGTCCCTTTTTTTCCCCATGGAGTTTTAGATCAAGTCCCTTTTTTTCCCCATGGAGTTTTCGGATCATGTCCTTTTTTTTCCCCACGTGGGGAAAAAAAGGGACCTTAGAAATTTTAAGGTAAAAATCCACCCTTTATATTTAGTAGGTTTTTACCCTTATGTTTAGCTACTACCAGAATGTGCTGGAACCTGTTATGAATGGGCCTGTTGCGGGTCTCGTGGAGTTCCTCAGAGTTAGAGGAGTGTTGAAGCGAGTGGTTGCATGTCCAACGTGCTCTGTTGACATGGTATGCAAGCCATACACCCGCAACAAAGATGGAATGGCGTTCAGGTGCTACAACCATGATTGCAGTGGAT